AATAGAAAGTATTTTTCTATTAAATTTCTTGTTAAAATAATTGATAAAGATACATGTTTGATTCAAAAATGAATCGTGATAAAAAAAGGGAGATAATGGTATAGAATTTCTTTTTTTTATCGTTCTTATTCTATTATGATTCATTTTTTGTTTTACTACATACGAATCGTTATCATTCTTTTCTTCTTGCCTTCTATATATGGTATAACTGAAGTTATTTATTTATTTTATAATATTTAATCATAATAATACTGTTGTCTTTTTTTTTCAAGTCAAATAAACTTATCTTATCCGGTAGATAGTCGAAAAAAGAGCGAACAACTACAATATCATAACTATCTATTTCATCGAATTTTTTTCTTCATAAAAAAATGGCTGAACAAGTATTAAAACGTCTTGAAGCTATCACAGATCGACTTGAGTTAGCTTCTAAACAGCTTTTATCTAATTCATCATCCGGTTCAGTCGATCAGTCAAATAAAGATGATGATTCAGCAAATAATATTGATCATTTACCTATCATACAAGATTATGATACATTAATCAATGAATCAGTTAAACCATTTGTTGCTGTTTCAAAAAAAATTGGTGGTGATTTAGAAACAATGAGTGATCATGTTTCGCGTCTTTTCGATGCTCAACATCAATTTTTACGACAAGCAGTACAAAGTAAAAAACCAGTTGATAAACAAATAGCGGATGCAATTAAACCACAATCAAATGAAATTGAAGCTATTACATGTATTTATATACAATGTTTAATCTATATAGAATTGTTTTCTTTTCTTGTTTTTAGTATTTACAAGTAAAAATCGTAAATCACCATTATTCAATCACTTATCAACTATTTCCGAAGGTATTCCAGCATTAGGTTGGATTCTTGTTTCACCAACACCTGGTCCACATATTAAAGATATGTCTGATGCTGCACAATTTTATTCAAATCGTGTATTAAAAGAATTTAAAGAAAAAGATCCTACTCATGCTGAATGGGTTAAATTATGGATTAAAATATTCAATGATCTTCATGGTTATGTTAGACGACATCATACTACTGGTCTAGCATGGGCTTCACAGGGTAAACGTGATTTTGATACTATTAATACATCTACAACTAAACCTGCTGCTGCTGCTGGTGGTCCTCCTCCACCTCCACCACCGCCGCCGCCACCACCACCAATGCCGATGAATACAGATCTTGGTGCTAAGGATGATAATAGTCGAAATGAATTAATGGATTCAATTAATTCGTTAGGTCAAGGTGTAACAGCTCGTCTCAAAAAAGTACCTGAGGAACTTAAAACACATAAAAATCCACAATTACGTCAACAAGCAGGTAAATAAAATAATGAATTAAAATAAATCTTTTTTTTTTCAAAAATTTCCTCCTAGACAATGAATCAGCTTCGAATAAAAAACCTGTTGTACCACCAAGATCTACAAAACCGACATTATCACAAGTAAAAGTCCTTGTTTTGTTCTTTCCAATAAAATTTATTATTCTTTAGACAACTCATACTGGAACACCTAAATTAGCTCTTGAAGGTAATAAATGGGTAGTTGAGCATCATACAGGTAAATCTGATCTTCGAATAACAGAAACAGAAATGAAACATACAATTTATATATATAAATGTACAAATTCAACGATAATTGTTGAAGGTAAAGTTAATTCAATTGTACTCGATCAATGTACAAAAGTTGGCTTACAATTTACATCAGTTGTATCATTAGTTGAATTTATTAATTGTAAAAGTATGAAAGCACAAGTTATTGAACGTGTACCAACAATTCAAATAGAAAAAACTGATGGTTGTCATATATATTTATCTTCAGTATCACTCGATACAGAATTTATAACATCGAAATCATCTGAAATGAGTGTTAATCTTCCATGTGATGATGGTGAATATAAAGAATATCCAATTGCTGAACAATTCAAAACATATATACAAAATGGCAAACAACTTGTAACAATCGCAAATGAATCTGCTGGTGTTTAATTGAAATGATTTTATTAGAACTTCACTATTTTTCTTTTCTACGCGTGTGTGTGTGTTTATTTTCTTAATCAAATATTGTGTGAGATGAATGTTTTTTTGTTTTTAACTACTCATGTATCCTTATCAAAAACATGGATATAATAAAATAGAAAAAAACAAAAATCTAGTCCAAAGAGCAAATATAATAATATTAAGGAAAAAAAAAGAAAACAAATTTTTTATATATACAATAAAAATAACATGATTGTTGAATGATAGAAATGTTTTACTTCAAGGCACTAATAAACAATGTGTCAACGACGTGATTACACTAGCAAATGACCTCTCTATGGTTTTATGATATAATTGTAATCACTAATAACCGACATACAAAAGAAAAGTGGTAAAGAACGAAAAAAAAAAGAAAAAAGAGAAAAAATGAAAGAGAAAAAGAAACATATGAGTTGAGGAAGAATTAAAGTTTCTTGACTTTATGTAATAGAAGTGCGGTTAGTCGTTGATATTTATTGTTTTTTCTTTCAGCGCAAATCTCTAATAATGCAATTTGATCAGTTTTATGAAACTATTGGATCATTTGGGCGATATCAACAAATTAAATATCTGTTCATATGTTTAACGTATATGCTTCCCCCTATAATGGTCTATACGTGGACATTTGCTGCAGCTACACCTTCTTTTCATTGTCGTACACCAGCAGATGATATATCTGACGTTACACTTATAGATGATATTCGTCATCATTATATTCCAAGTGAATCTCAGTGTCGTCAATATAAAAAAGCAATATCTATTAGTGAATGTCAAAAATGTTTTCAATTAACAAACGGAAGTTTTGAGAATAATGGTGGAATGAAACCTTGTACAAGTTTTGTTTTCGACCGAACATATTATGAATCAACGCTTGTAGAAGAGGTTAATTATTATTTCTAAAAAAATTAATTTAAAAAAAAAGAAGTTTTTGTTTTTTTAGTGGTTCATGGTTTGCAGTCGTGTATCTCTTAAAAGTTTTGCTCAAATTATATTTTTTTTTGGTTATATGGTTGGTTCAATTGTATTTGGTATTCTATCAGATAAGTAAGTTCTATTATAATTTAAAAATTCGTTTGATTTTATTATTATAGATTTGGTCGACGACCGGTTATGGGTGCATCATTTATAGTAATAACACTTGCTGCATTTATGTGTGCACTTGCACCTCATCCAAAACTTACTTTTGAAATAAGTTATGCATTATTTATATTTGGTCGATTTTTACTTGCTTGTGGTACACGTGGTGTTGCTCTTACTGGTTTTGTTATCGGTATGTATATTAAGTGACTAGATATAAACAAAATAGCTGTTTATATGACACTAATAAATCGATTTAAAGTCAATACTATATACTGGGAGATTACAAGTTACGACACTTCTTTTTTATTTCTACTTGTCTTCTTCTCTATAAAGATTGCAGTGACCTGACTTTGATATCCTCTATGTCTTTTTTTTATCAATTACAACGTGACCTGTATTATATACGATGCTATTATATAGATTTTTTTCTTGATTCTATTTTTATCGAGCGTATTAAGAGGACATATATTTGCGCTATTGATAAAAAATATATATTATTTCTATCAAAAATAAATAGGTAAAAGAAACATTACCAAAATATTTATATATATAAATTCAAATTGATGACTTGTTTATTTTAGGTGCAGAAATTGGTATGTTAATGGTTATGATATCATTTTTTTGTTAATGTTTTATATATATATTATCTTAATAGTCGGACCAAAACAACGTTTATTCACTGGAATTGTTATTGAATATTTTTTTGCTGGTGGTGAATTAATTCTTTTAGGATTTGCTTATTTGATTCGAACATGGCGATCATTAAATATGGCTTTAGCTATAATATCAATACCTTTTCTCCTCTTTTATTTGTAAGTTTAATAAAAAATTAATATTGTATGTTATCGAAATTTTTTTCTTTTTGTTCTAGTATACTTCCAGAAAGTCCACGTTGGCTTATTTCTAATGGTCATTATGAGCATGCCGAACGAATTCTTCGTCGTATTGGAAAAAGAAATAAAAAGGATTTTGATTCAGTTGCATATCAAAAGTTGATTCAAACAGAACAGGAAGTAGGAGAAGAAAATTCATTTTTTGACATATAATTTATTAAAATTTTTCAGTTAAAAGCATTAAGTCCACATACAAAGCATGGTTTACGAAGTTTATTTCGATCCAAAATTATGATTATCATTGCAATTAATATGTCATTTCAATGGTAATATTGTATTCATAATCTTTCTTATCATTTTTGATGCGTAATAGGTTTGTACAAAATCTTGTTTTCTATGGAGTTTCACAAAATACTGGTAAATGAATTTAATTGTAAACTTTTATAAAAACAAATTTGTTTTCATAGGAGCATGGATGTCTAACCCATATATAGCATTTGGCGCAGGTGCTCTTGTAGAAATTGTTGCCTATTGTGTTGTGCATCTTGTACTTGATCGATGGGGACGTAAATTAACATTTTGTGCATTTGTATTTACTTTTGGAATTGTTGCATACTTAGTTGTACCTGTTCAAATGCTAATGAAAAAAAATAGTCTAGGTATGATTTTATTTGAAAAGACAAAGAAAAAAAGAACTAATTTTTTATTTTTAGCACAAGAGAATCTAATGTTTATTATCAATGTTGTTTTAAAATTTCTAGCAGCAGGATCATATGCTATTATATATATATATGCAAATGAATTATTTCCTACACAATGTCGAAATTCATGCATGGGACTTTGTTCAATGATTGCTCGATTTGGTGCTATTATTGGAACGTTATCAAATGATCTTTTAGTATGTGATTGATTTTATTTTTGTTTCTTAAATACTTTCTATATATATATGTATATAGGCTCGAATATGGATTCATTTTCCAGTTGTATTTTTTGGTACTACATCTCTTCTTGCTGTAGCTTTTGCAACACTTTGTCCTGAGACCGCGAATAAACCATTACCTCAAACAATTGAGGATATTGATCGAATAGGTCTTAGTTGGTACGTTTTATTTTTTAAGAAAAATAAAAACTTTTTCTTTTATTTTCGTTAAGGCCATGTTGGAAACCAAAATCATCGAAACATGTAGAAGCTAATGGTTCAAGTTATAATGATGAACATATATCATTAAAACATGCAGAAAATAATGGTTCAAGTGGTATTGAGGATCCAGTGAGCCAATCTTCATGATATAAACAGCTCAAAATAAAAAAAAAATGAAAATGATATATTCTAATTTTTTCGTTGCTGTATTATTGAATCAACATAAATATATGTATACTTTAGCTAATTTCATTTGATAGATTTCTAATAGTATATATAAGTGTAAACTAGATCAAACTTTTTTTCTATTATATGTAAATTTCTTTTTAATTATAATATAAAAATTTTAAGATTTACGACTCGAATAGATCAATCTTGTAAAAGCCAATCGATCCTATATTTATTTTGGGATACTTTGTTTTGAAATTAGAGATTCCATTGTCTCTGAATTATATCATATACTATAGCTAATTTTTCTTGAAATTACGTGTTAAAATAATTCTATTTTATCATAAATCTAAAGCCATAATGTTGCCTATATTTCAAAATATTTTAATACTACAGTCGATGTAGATGAAATTCTCTGTTCGCGTATACTAATGTGTATCGTCTAAACAAAATAAAATGTGCTTGTCTACGAACAACGTGATAATGTAAGAGAACGATTGGAAGTAACCAATGTGAGTGAGTGATCGCTATTTTTCTCATTGCATTATTCACGAGGACAAGTTCACCTGTACCATTAGAACGTATTTTTATTTTTTTATTTTTCTTCATTTGTTCTGTTACTTTTAAAATGTATGCTGCATTTTTTATGTCATAATGTATGGGATTTTTCTCTCACGACAATGAAAGTAAATTCAATAGTTTATATGTAATTTCTTTTAGATTCATAACTAAATTGAGTATTCCATCGTTGTTTCAAATCTCTTCACACGTATTTTACAATTAGATTATGTCCGAACAATTAAATGAACTCGAACAACAACTTGGTTATTATTTTAATGATCGAAATTATTTACGTCGTGCTCTGACATGTGAAAGTGACATAAATGAACGACATTCTGATGCAGCTGATGAAAATTCTAAAGCACTTGCATTTATAGGTGATGCTGCACTTAAATCTACCATAGCTACACTTCTTTACGCCAATCAAAATCAACGATCGAGTGCTGGTGATATGCATAATCAAGTTGTTCCATATATTGAGAATACTAAATTGGCTGGTATTGGACGTCAATTAAATTTAGATCGATATATGATCAAAGGCAAAGGTGTACGGGATGTCACTGATAGTATGTTTGCCACTACTCTCGAAGCGATTTTAGGTGCAATCGTTATTGATCAAAAAAACAAGGAACATGGATCTGAAGATGTTTTATTGGATATTATTGCTCGTTTTTGGTCTATTCAACGTAAAGGAAAATCAAAAGTCATACCACCGATTCAACAAAATCACAATAAAGATAAATGTTGTTGCTGTAATGCTTGCTGTAAATATTTTGGAATTATTACTGGTATAGTTTTTCTATGCTTGATAATAGGACTCTTGATAACTTTAAAAGGAGCCGATCTATGATTTCACTTCTTTTTTGTAATCTTATCAAGAATATTTTGAAAATATTCATCATACTTCCTTAATAAATTAATAGAATTTTCATTACCAAGCTTTAACAAATTCAAAAGTATTACAATAATGCGCGTTAAGCTTGTTTTTTGGTATATTGTCATTATAGAATATTTCATTATTATTTCTGTTTCGTGTCATATTATTTTAATTTGACTATGTCAAATGCAAATAATTCTTTATTTTCAATTATTCCAACAAAATCTAAATTCAAGAAATCTCGTCGAATTCAAATCATCAAAAATCTTATCTATTTATTCTCATTTCTAGATTTTCTCTTACATTATATAATAACAGTTGAATTAGGTGTATTCAAACAGTTTTATCCGACATTTGAAAAAATTTCTCAATCAAATTCAACTACATATGTATTATGTAAATCACCCATGAAAAATTATCTATCACAAATCAGTTTATATATACTTTATCTTTCTATCTTCACATTATTAATTTCCACAGAAGCGATACGGAAATCATCAGTACAACTTTATCGATTTTATATCATAATTAAATTGATTTTTACTATAATTTTATTAGTTTTATGTACTATCTATACATTCATTAATCCCATACAAACAAATATTAATATTTCATACATACAAAACAAAAATATTCTTCTTTCGATAATAATTGATTCATGTCTTATCTATACACGTGAAAAATTGACAATCTATATTCTTACTATACTTAATATATTTATATTTTTAATAAGTATACAATGTTTAAAAGTATTTTCATTTGTAAAGCCAATTGTTATCAAAGTTTGAATAAAATAAACTATATTCTATCTGACATCTATGGGCTGAGAAAGAGAATGGCTAGTTTCTTTATACTAATAATTATGAAAGACAGACAAGAAGATTTTATTTGAATCAAAAAATAAAACTAGAAATTATGAGCCATGCAAAGAAACATAAACGACATGATCGTATGTATATTTTTTATCGATTTAAAAGATTATAAATTGTGTTTTTTTTATTAAAGATGATGCTGATGATGATAAACATCGAAAACATCATCGATCTAAAACAACAACAACAGATCAATCTGTTGAAGAACCAACAGTTGATCCAAATTTTGACTGGCTTAATCGAAAAGATTATCTTACAGAAACTTTTCTTCATGATAATATCATGTTTAGGTTAATAGATTATCTTACAAAAATAAATATCATTTTATTTTCTATTAATAGTTCTCTACCAGATATTGAAGATTTCTGGAAATTTGTTTATAAATACCAATTATTTCAACAAAAACGAAAACAACCACCTAAACCTATACCAAGCAGTATAGATACTGACCAACAACGATCATCTATATTAAATTTACCATTAATCTATGAAAAACGACATCGTTTAAATGCATCTATCACAATTAATAAATCTCTCACACATGCTGAACCACGTTATGATATGATGGGTGAGAGAATAATCGAACATCATCGTTTATCATCAACTCGATTAGAAGAATTTAAATCTATAATTGAATATTATTTTGATTTTAATCAAAAAGAAAAAGTAAAAAAATTCTTAATTTTAGAAATATACATTTTTTTTATCGTAGTTTAAACGTATTCATAAACTTCGACAAGATCAAAATAATTTACCTATTGCAATTCATCGTCGAGAAATACTTGAAGAATTAAAAAATCATCAAGTTATATTAATTGCTGGTGATACAGGTTGTGGAAAATCGACACAGGTTAGATAACAAAATATATTTATTTGATAAGAAATTTCAATTATCTTTTAAAGTTTTAGATTCCAAGATTTTTACTTGAAGCTGGTTTTGATAAAATAGCTTGTACACAACCGAGACGTATTGCTTGTATATCATTAGCTAAACGTGTTAGTTATGAAACATTAAATGAATATGATAATCAAGTTGGATATCAAGTTCGATTTGAAAAAACTCGAGTAAAATCAACGCGAATTATATTTATGACAGAAGGTATTCTTTTACGACAACTTCAAACAGATTCATCATTATCTGATTATGATATATTGGTTATTGATGAAGTACATGAACGGCATTTATTTACTGATTTTATTATGGGGATTATTAAATGTTTAATAACTCAGCGAAAAGATTTAAAAGTTATTCTTATGTCGGCAACAATTAATATTGAATTATTCTCAAAATATTTTGATGATTGTCCTGTTGTGAAAGTAAGGAATGTATAGATATTAGTTGTGTTGACTCCAGGATTCAAGTTTTGTCATCATCTATTTCATGTTCTTTTTTACAGTGGGGTTAATCAAGCTTCTTTTAGTTTATTGTCAAAGTTCTCATAGGACTTATATGTAAATTCAATAGGATTGTCTAGACTTGGATCTAAAAATTTTGAATTTATTAGAATTAATCATCTGTTATACTAATGAATAATCCATAGAGAGTTATGTGAAAATTATATTTTGATTATTATTTTAATTTAGGTGCCAGGTCGTTTGTATAAAATTCAAGTTAATTATCATCCAATCAAAGTCGAAGAATCTGCAGGAAAAACAGCTAAAATTGATGCTAAACCATATTTACGTATTATGGAACAGATTGATCTAAAAGTAAAATATAACTTTGCATATTTTCTCAACAATATCTTTTCAGTATCCATCAACTGATCGTGGTGATATGTTGATATTTTTAAGTGGTATGGCTGAAATTCAAGGAATTATGGAAGCAGCTCAAGCATATGCTCAAGAAAATCTACGATGGATTGTCCTTCCATTACACAGTGCACTTTCACTTGAAGAACAAGATAAAGTATAGAGATATCACTTGTAGAAATCTATTTATTTCATTATTATTTATAGGTATTTGATATGGCACCTGAAAGTGTACGTAAATGTATTATATCAACAAATATTGCTGAAACATCAGTAACAATTGATGGTATGCGTTTTATAATTGATTCTGGTAAAGTTAAAGAAATGTCGTATGATGGAAAATATAAAATGCAACGTTTACAAGAATATAATATAAGTCGTGCAAGTGCCGAACAACGTAAAGGTCGTGCTGGACGTACTGGACCTGGTGTTTGTTTTCGTTTATATAGTGAACATGATTATTTAAGTTTTCAAGAATATTCAACACCAGAAATTCGCCGTGTACCACTTGATTCACTTATGTTACAAATGATTTCTATGGGTTTAAAAGATCCGAGAAAGTAAAATAAATTTCTAAAAAAGATTTTTTTATTTTTTTTCTAATTTAAAATAGATTTCCATTTGTTGAACCACCAGATATGGCAGCAATTGATACGGCTTTACTTCGTCTTCAAGAACAAGCAGCTTTATCAACCATTGATTGTTCATTAACATCAATTGGTTCAATGCTTGCTCGATTACCTGTCGATGTTTCTATTGGAAAAATGCTTATTTTTGCGTGTATTTTTCAAGTATAAAATTAAACTAATAAAAAAAAAACAAAAAAAATTTTATTTATTAATTTAGTATGTTAATCCAATATTAATAATGGCATCTGCATTGAGTATACAATCACCATTTCTTAGTTTTCTCCAATGTGATCCAGATACTATAACACGTCGTCGACCAATGATGTCTGATCATGGTGATCCATTTACATTATTAAATCTTTTTGATGAATGGATTTATGTAAGAAATGATTACAAAAAATTTTTTTTTGTTTATTTTTTCTTATATTTAAAAGGTTAAATCTGATGGACAAAATACTCGAACATGGTGTAAACGAAGAGGAGTTGAAGAACAACGTCTTTATGATATAACAAAACTTCGTCGACAATTTCAAGATATTCTTCGAGTATAAAAATTAATTCTCCCAACTAAGGTCGAAAGTAAAAATGTCGAAACATGAAAATGATAAGACTCTGGGTGCTCGAAACAACTTAAGAGGAAAAATAGAGAAAGACGTCTGAGGATGGATGTAAATACAGAAATTCATCTATATTTAGCCGCTCCCACACCCACACTCACATCCTCACTTACACCCTCACCCCCACACACATCTTCACCCACACCCTCGCCTGCACCCTCACTTCCATCCTTACCCACACCCACATCCTCACTTACACCCTCACCCTCACACACATCCTCACCCACACCCTCGCCTACACCCTCGCCTGCACCCTCACTTCCATCCTCACCCACACCCACACCCTAAAATCAACCTCTTCGACATTTTTATACTTCGATATTGATATTTTTATATTTCGACTATTATCAATTCGACATTCTTACATTCGACGTTTGTCTAATTTAATTTCGACGTTTTTACCTTTCGATATTTCTAACTTTCGACATTTTTCTTTTTTGACTAAAGTTGGGATTACCTAAAAATTATCAAAATATTTTCTTTTTGAAATCTATCGTTTTTTTTTATTCTAGGATTATAATATGGAAATTGATTATAAACAAAATAAAGCACGTACAACACTTGAAAAACGTGAACATTGGAGAAAAAAACAACAATTAAAAGATCTTAGATCAGAACATGATAAAGAATCAAAACAAAGAAAATTTCTTAAATTAGAAGTAAGATAATAAATGTCAAAATGAATTATATTAATATTTTAATTTAGGAATCTTCAATGACTGATGATCATGGTGATGATAATGTAAAAAAAGAAGTTTTGAAAACAACTGATAAAATTCGTGATATTGAATTTCGTCTTATCAATGATTTATCGGTATTAAAAGATATGTCAACAGATAGTCAAAATTATCGTTCGAAAGATATCAATATGCTTAAATTAATTCTTTGTTCTGGTCTTTATCCACAAGTTGCAATAGCTGATGAATTTAATAATTATAAACGAGATTGTGATCAATTCTTTCATACAAAAGTAAATTCTATATTTAATAATAATTACTAAGTTTTATTTATATATCTAGACAAAACAATTTGTGGTTCTTCATCCAACAAGTGTCTTTACTTATGATCCAGATAATCTTCTACCTCCAACTTCAAGTAAAACAGTAACCAGTTCTAATAATAAAAAACAAGTATTCAGTAATAAACACGAACTACTTGTCTATGTGTAAGTATAGGAACTAGATAAATTAATAATAATAATTGTTTATTTTAGTACATTAATTGAAACCAATAAACCATATATAATGAGTGTCATGCGTACGCCTTCAATGCAAACATTATTTCTTTATGCATCAACGCTCGAAACAAATAATGATTTTACTCGTATTCTATGTGATCAATGGCTCGAAATAACATTTGAAAATCCGGAAGCCGCACAAAGTATTATCTCATCATTATTACTTTTACGTAATGCTCGTGATCTTCTTCTACAATTGACATTACAAGGTATAGTAGAATAGTATTCAATTTTAAATTATCTTCAATATTTAGATTTAAATAAATCAATTGATATTGAACTTGTTTCAAAACCACGTACATATGAATTACAACATTTACTTTCATTAAAAATGACGGAATTTCTTGATAATTCATGTCTCTATGCTATTCGACGTGTTCTACCCGGTAAGTATCGATTTATCTTACCATAATAAATAATCTTTATTTATTTTTCTTAGCTGAATTAGATACTATTTATCGATATAATACTCAAGTCGACGATGATGAAGTTATTGTAGAAAAAGAAAGTACTAAAATTAATGAATATTTAACATATAATTGGTTTGTAATTCTTTCTTATTTTTTTTTTGAATTTATATTTTTAATATATTTTGTAGTTTACGATCGAATGATGATCAAGAATCATTTTGGTCAGAATATGCTGGTGCAACAATGCAAAAACATTGGATTTGTCCTTATTGTAATGAAGATATTCTTGCTACTGTTGCCGAACGTGTTGCACATGAAAATCGATGTCAATTAAATTGTAAGAATTTTATATTATAATTCAGATCTCGTCTAAATAACAGTCACCTATATTCGATTCTCTTGAGATTATTTAATTCACACTGAAAAAGAAAACTCTTATCGGATGTATTCAACATCCGATCAGATGATGATGATGAAAGCTAATCATATAAGTCAAGGTTTTGTTAAGTAAACATATGTCTTTGAATAATATTTATATTTTTTTATGAAGATTTAATAGACCATAAAAGATTTACGAGAACAAGACGAGTCGAATATTTGATATTTGGACCTATAATTGTTTTCTATAATCAGTATAATAATTATAGTTCATGTGATTAGAGCTTGTCTATTCTGACTTCCTTTGTTTTGAGTACATTCCTATACCTGGAAACAATCTGTTTTTGATAGTAATCGTATTATCTGGATTGACTTCTTGTTTGTTGTTTTTTCTATCAAAATTTCAAAGTTTTATATAATTACTGAATATTATCAGTGCACTATGTCAAATAAAGATAAACTCCTTACGTTTTAATTAGAAAAATGTCCTTAAGAACGTTTTTGATGTCATGTGTAAGTTGAGAAAAAAAAACTAAATGTAATCTTCTTCTTTTTTTCTTCTGTAGCTTTATGTAATGATGATAATCCAATTTTTAAATCAACACAAACGAATAAAAATGACATATTAAATAATTTAACAGCAATTACTCATACAACTTCAACAATTATTCCAACGACAAAAGATTATCATTGTGACATATGCCAACAAACATTTAAATTGACAAGTATAGAAATCTTACGACATCGTGCTACACATCAAAATTAAAAACATAAAAATAAAATTTTCTATGTCTGTTTTTTTCTTCTCTCGTTATAAAAATAAAAGATGTACACATTTTTTCTAATATTAGCCTTATGTTATATTATCATTGATATATATATTTACAGCCAGAATAAAAATAAGATATTTAAGTAGCCTGAAGATATTTGATAAAGACTGAAAATATCTGTCAATTTTCCTTAACGTCATACGACGTAACGCTATTTCCGGCACTTAAATAGATAGCTAAGTAGTAGTATATGACTAGAATACTAATAGGAAATGCATGTTTCCTAGGAATTTTTATTACTATACTCTTACTTTTTATTTTTTGTCTGCATTTTTTCTTACATTGCTTTTACTTAAGGGTATGCGTAATAATAACAAACTGAATGACATTTATAACATGCATAATAGACAGATAAATGCCATATTTTCGACAGTTCACAATAAATATTCAATAGTAGTAGTAATACGATTGACTTGTTTTATTTAACAATATATATTTATTGAAAATTATATATTGACAAAAAACAAAGATAGAAATTTATACGAAAACCATTTTCTTTTTCTCTATGCTCAAGTACATGCTCAAAAATTTATTAGTAATGACATTTTCATAGATAATTAAGGTAAGAAATACTTGTATTGAATATTCAATGAAATAAACTAGATCAAATATATGCCGACAGACAAAAAGAGAATTGATTATAAGAACAAAAGTATTTTCTAAAAATAAAACTTTTCAATAGTTTATTTGTCTCATGGAGTGAATACAAAAAAAAAAGAGTTCATACGCCGACATGAAAGTTGTAGTATTGTATACATATATATGGCTAACTAAAGCAGCATGATATATCAGTGGTGACAGATGTAAAAAATTAAAATAAAAACATGTCACAGTTGTCTGTATCATGAAAACAATATAGAAAATGATGACAAGAAATGTTTGGTCGTCTATGAATTGAATACTGTAGGTAAGAAAAAGTTCTATGCAGATGATTGACATTATGAAAAGATGTTTTCGAAAACTATAGATATGCGTGTTTTATTGTATATATTTCTATTTGACATACAGATCGCATGTTGAAAAGTATCATGCTATTCAGTCTACAGATCAAAAATAAAAGTTCATGTGGGTGCATTGACGTATTATACATATCCGCTCTAGTCTGTCTGAACATATGTATTATTACTATTGAATTATATATTAAACTAAAAGTGTTAAATTATGATGTATTATTTTTGATCCTTCATCTCACATGATCATGAAGATAATGGATGCAGGAGAAGAAAAAAAGAAAGAATAAGATAGATATCTCTCGCTCTATTTTTCTTCTCTTATAACATGTACTCCCCCTTCTTCCTTTTCTCTTCTTCTTCGTCTTCTTCTTCCGTTTTTATATTAAGATTTTCTATCAAATAACAGGGACTCATTCGTTATGAGTTTCGGTACGAATAATACAACTGCTGTTGCATTACTTTTACCTGTACATATTCCTGGTTTACGTTTACTTATTGCATTTACTTGTATTATATTGTATATATTTGGTTATACCGGTTGTCTTTTATCAATAATAACATTTAGTTCAAGAAAACTTCGTCATCATTCAACAGGATTTTTATTTCTGATTATGGCATTTGTTGATATATTTAATTTATTTGCAAGTTTACAATATTTTCTTGATGTTATTTATCAAATAAATGTCTTCGCAATATCTATACATTGGTGTCGATTCTTTACAATGTAAATTTTAATTTTTTTTAGAATTAAAATTATTCTTCTTCTTTTTTTTAGTATTAATTATGAACTTTATTTTGGATTTTCATGGATATTTGTATTTATATCGGTTGATCGTTGGATTAAAGTTGAATGGCCAACAAAAAGTCAAACATTATGTACACGACAAAAATTTATATATTTATGTTTATTAACATTATTTTTAAGTCTTATACAAAACATCATTTATGCATTCTTATGTTTTAATGATGATTGTGGACAAAAGAATTTAGCGTGTGAAATATTTATTCATGCTGTTTATATAACAATGTATATGACTGTACCGATTGCAATTATTCTTATATCAATAAGTCGTACATGTTTAATTACAATTAATCTTAAAAAACGTATTCGAACATCAACATCAAGCAGTTCACAACAACAACCGCAACAACAACAACAACAAGCAGTTGTCGATACGACAACATCACTTAAATTAGAAAGTATTGTTCGATGTCATTCTACAACAGTTACAAGTCGATTATCAAGTTCATTTGTTAGTTCACTATCATCAACAACAACAACAACAAATAATAATAATCATCATCATCATCCAACACAATCTCAATTTTTAAATACAAATAATCGGTTAGCCTATTATCGTCGGCGACGTTCACGTATAGATGCCCAAATGGTTATATTAATATCAATAAATGTTGCTCCATTTATTCTTGTACATATCATAACAGAAATAGCTTATCTATTTGAAAAATATTCAATAGTTGTGTCACAATCAACTGTTGCAAGATTAATTATTATATTAATTTATCTTTCATGGTATTTAATATCAGCAACACGTTTTTATACAAATTGTTTATTATCACGTATATATCGTGAAGAATTTCAAAATCGTTTGTATATGTTAAGACATGGTTGTAAATCACGTCCAAGAAATTCTGATCGATTATCATCAAGAAGATATTCATCAAGATTTTTTCTTGGAAGTTTAGCGAATGGCGGTGAAAGTACAACTATGAATGTAAAATCAATTGGAATGAACTAAAAGACTTTGATTGTTGTCATTTTAATGTTGTTGTTGTTGTTTTTTTTATTTGTATTGAAAAATACAAAAAAAAAATAAAACAAAACTTTTGTTATAAACAATTCAATGTAAATTCTCATCATCATCATTATCAAATTACGCATATATCACGCACTTTTCTTTTTTAAGAAAAAATATTATTATGATGCTTGACTTTCTGCTTGTTATCTCAAGATGCCGTACATTATATTCTCTTGTCACGTATAGAGACTATAAACAAATCGGTGATGTAGAAAATGATTTCTTTTGTTTCCGATAAAAAAATAAGAAACATCATGGGAGTTGATTGTCTGTATTTTTACTTGTAATGAGACGAGGAAATGCATCATAAATCATTAATTCTCTTCTATTATTTTTCTTTCTTTGACAATATACAGACATGAAAGATTTAACACATCTGACCTATAATGATGTTTTATATATATATATATATATATAAATGTTTACAAATACATATTTTAAGTGAGAAATCAATCCTATGGAAATGAGATTAATAACAAAAGAAAACCAATGTTGTTTATTGATGCACGGATGTATACAATACCATCTAATAAATTTAGTTTGACAAACACCAAAACAAAAAAAAATTCTTTTAAAGTACTGCATCAAATAAATTAAGCGTATGTTGAAATACACAAGTGATGAAATTATATTTGACGGCAAAAATATTTTTAAAGAAATTCACAATATTCTTTATCTAATTATGGTAAACGTAGGCGTATTTAAAAGAACTTGACGAGGTAGAGTTCTCATTGAATTCATTTACATTTTTTCTCATATAAATAAAAATACTTTTAAGGGCTGGATTTATTTCCGGAAGAAAACTAACATCAACAAATTAGACATAGTTTAATATACTCAATTAAACAGTATAGTTCGATAAATTTGTCTAAGAAAATAAGTAATCAGTATCATAACATTTTGAACTTGACTTTGTTCTACTATTTATAAGTCCATTAGGACTTATTTATAAAATAAATATAAACAATAATCTAGGCAACTATTGAATAATTAGTAAGTCATTTATGAAGAAAATTATTGAGTCTATTTTTTTAAATAAAACTAGACAGTTGTACTTTATATTTTTGACGAAAGTACTTTCTTATAACCTTTATAATTAACATATTATTCACTGGCCATATTTCCTGTGTAATACTTTTGTAGAAAATAAATTAAATATCTTTCTCTTTTTTATATGATTATTAGGGACCAGAGGAAATTTATTATATATGAATATTTTAGCTTTTATTATATGCAAATAAATAAAGATTTAATTGGTAATCACGAAAGATGATGAATTGAATTGAACTTCGACACTAGATATCCTTTTATGAACTTTTCTGTTTTTTTTTATTCTGATGAATATATATGTGGCAGATCTTGACAATGTCAAGCAGAAAATAGAGAAATTACTTTTCAATGTTGTCTTTTTGAGTGCAATTTATAATATTTTTCTATTAAGATAAAAGAGGAATCTTATGCTTTTGTATTAGTTTTAATCGAAACATTAACGTCATGCTCAATGTCTATGAAGACTCAATTGCCATATAATTTTTGTCACATCAAATTGACTTTGTATTAATCAAAATATATATTTTATCGTAGACGATTGAAAATATAATGACTCTTTATCTATTTATAGTATTAAAATTTCACAGACATATACGCAAAAAGATTTTATTTGATACTATAATGCTCATGTAATACGACATAATTTTTTTTTCTAATCGACAACTAGTGACATCAAACTGATTCGCTGAAAAAATGGACCAATGAATATTTTCATCTTTCATAAAATATATATGAACGAACGAAGTGTTTCATTTTTTGTTCATTTCCTAATCTTCTAAGATTTTATAATGGAGATTGTTTATGCAGTTGATGTTAAAATGAATAATGATGGTGAAGATTTTGAACGTGTATTAGCAATGGATATATCATGTACAAATATTCTTGCTTGTTCATGCTATTATCTATTTGCATCAAATAAACTTAAATATAGTCCACATCTTGTTTCAACGTATAAAATTTTCTATATTGAATAATTTTGTTTTTATTAATTGTTTTTTAACTTAAAGGCCTTTACAACAAGCAGCTAAATCTTCATTTTGTGTTTATATTTGTTCACTTGAACAACCATGGCATTTCGGTTTAATAGCTACATCATATGTACCTATTGTTCATTTAACTTGGAGTCTTGATGGTACACATTTACTTATATGTAATCAAACAGGTGTTTGTCGAATATTTAAAATGAAGGTAAATCTTGGAATATTTTATAATTATTTGTTAAAGTATATATTTAGAATGGATGTATTAATACAATGGATAATGTCTATCAATATGAAACCAATGAAGATATTCTTAGTGCAAAATATATTTTTCATAAAGAATCAGTATGTCATTTTGAGAAAAAAATTTATTTGTAAATTATGCTTTTGATATTCTTAGATAATCGTTAATCTCGATAGAAAAGATTCATTATTCTATGGAAAAGAAGATAGACAATCATCAATGCTATCCTACGCTCTTAATTCTGGTAGTTTCGTATGTGTTACAACATCAGGAACGGTAAGATTGACTTATTAATCATATTTAAATTCTTTGTTTTTCTTATAGGTTCATACATTACCATTAAATCGATCATTACCACCATATCGTTATTTTCTGTCTCAACATGATCCACTTAATGTATCTTTATGTGATATATCACCGACTGATAAAGGTTTTAATGTTATTCTTGGTGAACGTGCACAAGGTGCACTTGTTCATTTTTTTGTTGTACATTATGAAACATTAGAACCAAAATTATCTTATATATCATGTCGACGTCGTGGTTTTCGTATTCCATCATGTTATGGTACACTTGAATCCTTAGCTTATTTTCAACGTAATGGTACTGATTGTATACTTACACGAATGACATCATTTAGTGGTGATATAATTGATCTTTATGAATATAATCTTGAACAAGAAGAATGGATATCAATAACTTTACTTAATTCACCTCAAGCACGTATTACATCTATAACACTATCACCAAGTCAATTATTAATTAAAGATAACGAATATCAAGGACAATTTGGTCGACAAATACTTGTTGCATTAAGTGATGGATCAATGCTTATTTATGATAAAGTAAATTTAAAATGTAAAGAACAATGTTTTCCAATGAATAATTCAGAAATATTTACACAATCGCAAGTTAATCAACCAGAATATTTTGTTCGTATTCAACATACAGATTCAGGTATATCAAAGCATACTATTTCAATACTTTTTTCTATATCACAATTCAACTATGTATAGGATCATGTTGTCTTGGTATTACTCAAAGTGGTATTGTTGTTCTTCTTCGTACAATTAATCTTGATCATGCATCATCTCCATCTATGCTTCATGTACTTGTTCATTTATTTGAACAATATATTGCTCAAATTTTTTATCCATGTGATATATGGGATATATTATGTCTTATATCAAATTCTAATTATGATAATTTGATAATAAATGAACTTGTTGATCAATTAGTATCACGTTATGATGAACAAACAATTGAATTGAAACGTAATTATTTTGTTCGTTTTAAACAATGTCTTTATCATTTACATCGTCTTGCTTGTCCATTTTCAATGGATAGTTGTGAACATTTAACTAGTTTACTTGTTTATCATATATTATTAATTGTTCGTGATTATCTTCGTTTATTTATTTATGAACCAACAAATAGAAATTTTGCTGATTCAGCACAAGAAATTCTTCAACAATCATCATTTATACAAAATATTGATATAAAACGTATTAAATATTTAGGTGATCAACCAATTACATCTGATTCAACTACAATTGATCCACGTCATTATCAATTAATATCATTTACATCATTAGTTAATTGGATATTAGATATTATTTTTTATCTTATTGGGTATTTACAATTACAACAAATGCCACAATGGTTAACATGTAAACATTTTTTTAATGATGCAAGACAACTGCAATGGTTAAGAGAATTTATTATCTATTTTTATATACTCAATAAAATGAATAAAATTCCATATAGTAAAATAGCTCATATACAACCAGTATCTCAAACTGTACAAACATCACAAGATTCACAACAACAACAACAACAACAACAACAATCAACAAATCAAAATACACAAAAAGATCTTTTAAAAGATATTTATAATAGTTTATCAAAACTTACACAAAGAATTGAAAGTAAATATATAAATGCTAGAATCTTTATATTTACATGCAAGAATTTGTTTATTTTTTAGCGCAAAAATCATCTGTTTTTGATGAATCTCTTCTCGAAGATTTTTCAGTATTAGATATTGAAATGTTACAATCAAAAGCTGATGGTATGTTTCCTAAACCATATCCATTTCTTATTCAAAATTCACGTTTACCACAAACATTTATTCGTGGACAAGTACCAGCATTTGCTGCACATCTTTATGGAAGTCCAGTAACAGCAGATGTCTTAGGTAGTAATCAATCATTATCAACATCATCATCTTATAGTAGTACACTTTTAAATGATGATAATTTACAAGATGTTAAATTTGATATAATTACTCTTAATAAAATGTCATTATCATCAAGTCCAACATTTCGTCGATGTTTACGTTGTTCAAATTTTTCAAGAGTTTTAAAAAATAAACCATATCCACTTTTGACTTATCGTTTAGATAATCGATGTTTATGTGGTGGATTATTTCTTTTTTATACACGATCATCATCATTAGCTAGTAATAATAACAATAATAATACAAATGAAACATCCACTGCGACTACAACCAGATAATCATTTTGTTAGAATGACTTTATTCGGTGATATTAATTGTTCTTTTTTTTGTCTATTGTTGTCTTAAAAAATAAATGATTAAAAAAATATCACGCTAAATTTATTCATTGTGTTAAGTCAAAAACTACTGGATTTTATTGTTACATCCGACAACAATATCAAATTCAAAAAGTATTAAAATTACTCGATGTTAAATAATGCAAAAGAGTTGGCATAAGGTCTAGCTCTATTGAACTATATTGGAGATTTTTAAATTAGTGAACTATAAACTTTGTGTCAAAAATCATAAACCTCTAAAAAAGGTTTTTGCAACTTAAAAAGGGTGGGTGGATGTGATTATTCTTCTCACTCACCATCAATACGCATACCTACACCCATCTTTAAGCAAGAGAATATGCGAAAATTATTAAAACACTCTCGTATCTTGTTGTCAATAAAAAGTCCTTTATCAGGTGATTCATACTCATCAGATGATATCACTACATTGGAAAAATTCATAAGCTAGATAAACATTCACTGATAGTCTTTTTATCAAATTCTTTCTCAAACTGACAAAAATTTAACAAAGAGGTGTTTTATCTTATGAAATTTCCTTCCACAATGACGTGTCGTTTTCTATATGTTAAGCATAGATATATTTGTACTCATAAAATTCGAGTTTGTATTAAGGCATCATTTTCATAAACTTGAGCCTGTAAAACTGCGTTAAACTATGCATTTTTTATAATTGGAATTTTCTTACAATTTTCACATGTTATTTCTTACTGCTTGTCTGCCTAGATTGAAAAAAGTTCCCAATATATAAACGATTGTGTGGTACCATTAAAGAAATCTTAACAACACGTAAGGAAATATGGCTACAAATAGCAATAATATTAAGAGTTTTGTCTTAATGTGGTGCGATCCTTCTGTGAACAGCAATGAAGAAAATATACAGGCACAAAAAACTTTTGCTAAAATCTACGATCGGTTTTATACATTTCCAACAATTGATGAATGTGAAAATGCTATCAAAGAACTTTCTACAACTGACCGAGTTAGTCTTATTATCAGTGGAGGATTTGGTACAGATCTATTGCCTCGTATTCATGAATTAACCCAAGTCTCTATAATTTATATTTTCTGTATAAGCGAAGAGAAATATACCGAATGGGCAAAATCATTTAATAAAGTAAGACAATGCAGTTTCATTTGTCATAAGTACCGCATTATTTTTTAGATTAAAGCGATCATTGCCGACATCAATAAACTCATCTCAACAGTTCAGTATGATTATGAGCATCGATTTAATGTTCTCGCTAAAAATGCGAAATCAGGTTTGTTAACAGAGAATCTCTTTGCCATTCTATATTAAAAAATTAAAGATAGAGAAACACCGAGAAATCGATTATAGTTGAGAATATGATACAGAACTAATCGTACAGATCAACAGATACGAAAATATTCTTAAGAGATTATTAAGAAGGCGACAATAGGGTCAGCTAGTTAAATACAGTATCCACACCCACAACCTGCTTCGAAGAAAGAATTTTCTGCTCGACTATAGAATAACAACTACTTTTTTGTTTTATTAATGTTTACTTAATAGAAAGTCAAACAACACATACAAAGAATAATGGCACTACATTTCAATATACTTCTGAATATTTTTTTGGTGTGGGTGAACTTCAGTATGCTGATAAAACAATCAAAGATATTGCAAATGAAATTGTTAGTCGATTTAAAAATTCTTCAAATCGTGATTTTAATGCTCTTATTTCGGAGACTGCGCAACCACTTATGTATTTATTAAAACGTGAACAAAAGTTGGCAGATTTTTCTGATACACTGAAAGTTTTACTTGTAATAGAAAAGAATATTCCACGTGTTAACCTACGTCGACTAATCGACAATATCATGATTAACTCCGATCAATTTTTATGTCGACGTCTAACATCTCTTCTTAGCAAACGTAATCCTGTTCCATTGATTCAGCCTTGTCACGATTCTACGAACAATGAATATCGTTCAATATCTAGTATTATTCATGTATGGGATTATCATCGACCTGTGCTTCTCTCTTTCGGCATCGGTAAATGTACAGGAAAAACATCATTAATTAATACTATTTTTCATAGTAACTTTGAACTGTCAGTGAAAGATGGATATTTTGCTAACACCATCGATGTTGATTTCGGCTATCAATTTTCAGAACGACGTCCCATTAATATAGCAGATAGTCATGGAGTAATTTCCGATGAAATACTTCCTCGAATATCGATGTTATTCAATGGTTTTCTCATTCATATTGACTCAAAATATTTATGTACAAATGCATCAGATGTAATCAAATATATTAAATTACTCTCTCCTCAAAGCTACATTGTATTACTCATTCGTGATGTTGATGATGATGATGATGATAAAGAAATACAAACTGTTGCTGAAAATGTAACTTCGTTTTGTTCGAATTATCGAATTCATTATTTACCAAATGTTACCGACAAAAGTAATATCGTAAATGAAGCAAAAATAAATGAAGTACGTGAAAATATTTTCCGTGATGTAGGTCAACATCAGTGTTGTAGCGAAGCATTACTTCGAAAACACCTTATGAATTTGCTGAATAATACACAGATAGAAGATATTCAACAAGAAATGACTTTTATCAATTCTATTCGATCAATTCTGATTGATGGTAAAGAAGAGAATTATCCTGTTTACTCTTCGTTCACAAATCTTTGTAAGAAGAGATTGGAAGTATTTAAAATAGATCCGTATGGAAGAAATTTTCAAGATGAAAACTTGCATCGACTTAATCTTGACTTATTTTGTGCTGATTCTGATTTTAAGGAAAAACTACGAAAAGGTTCTCACACATACGGTGCTGGTTTCGACATATTTCTTAATCTACTTCAAAATGAAGAATCACGATTAATCAAATTGAATCTATTGTCAATAGAATTAAAAAAAGAACGAGCTAAAAAGGATATAGATCAAGAACAATTACCATTTTATGATCAACTCTCACTTGAAATTCACTGGCGTAATGCAATGATCTGTTCAGCTGGCTTATCTGATGATAATCAGAAAAGACTGGTTCAAGCTTATCGAGATTATCTTGTAGAAGGAAATCCATTCGAAATAGTCGATGGTGATAATTTTGAAATGCAAAATGATTTCCTTGCAAAAGTAATGGAATTATTTCCGAACAAAAAATTTTTTGTCATTAGTATAGTTGGACAACAAAATAGTGGTAAGAGTACATTGTTGAATTTTTTGTTTGGTACTTTATTCGAAACACGCTCTGGTAGATGTACAAAAGGTAAGAGACAATAATTTAATTGAAGTCTTTGATTTTTCTCAATTTGAAAAACTTTTTTCATTTTAGGTGTCTATGGAACATTAATCAATGTTCAAAATATACCTAGCAAGAATAACCTCATTCCACTTGATTATGATTATATTCTTCTTATTGATACGGAAGGTATACTGTCTATTCAGAAAAATGACAAACAATATGACAGAAAGCTTATTCTTTTCTGCTTGGCTATATCTCATTTAATGATTGTTAATGTTGACGGAGAAATCAATGAAATAGTGAAAGATTTTTTTATCAGTTGTACACAAGCTCTGAAATATCTCGGTGAAACACGAGTTATACAACCAACGGTGCATTTTATTCTTAATAAACGGCCAATCAGAGATGAAAATTATTGCGTAACTCTTTTTGAATATGTTCGTAAAACATTAAACGAAAATAAGTTGGACGATGTCATCAATCTTCAACCAGAAAATTGTTATGTTTTATCGACAGCATTTAATCGACATCAAACTAAAATTTTAAATGGCAAATGCAATATATTATCGACAGATATTAACTTTGTCACAGATGTTCAAAAGCTTGGTAAAATTATCATCGATAGTTCATCTAATATTATTCGACAAACTGGTGATCGCTTCTGTAAACCAACAAGTTGGATTGAATTTGCAAATAGAGTACTACAAACAATTAAAAAACATCCTGATTTAACTCGTTTTCAGGATGCTTTTGAGCGTAATCAATACAATAAAATTCGCGATAGTATTCGAAAGGATTTTGATCAACATTTAACTGCAGTATTCATTCGTTTTCTAATGGAGAAAAATAAAAACAACAGTCCTAATCAGATCAAAGATTATTTCAAAAATACATATGATCAAATGTTTCAAAAACTCAAAATTAAACTTGAAAAACACTGTGATGATTGTCAAGCAAGTGAAACTGTGTCTAAGTGTTCATTGGATTTCATGCGTGCACAACTAAGCAATATTTTTTGCTCGTGGGAAATTTCGACTCAAATAGCATCTAAACGACACAAAATCGATCAAATAGTTAATAATATTGATAACACACTTAATGTGAAAGCCATCAGTGTCACTCACAAAAATTGCCTCATGGATGAAGAATCTGCAAAAAAGATGTTTGACGAAGAGTTACAAGATATATTTAATGAAATAGAAAATCAATTTGACTCCAAAAATGTATGGGAACAATGGATTGACATAGTCTTTCATCTATTAAATACATTTGGCGAAGATGTTTTACCATCGGAAAATAATGTGCTTATCTATTTAGAGTTTCTCAAAACGTTAGATGACTCACCTGATAAACGCATCTCAATGGACAATTGTTTAGCAAAAATTAACGAAAAATTCATATCTGATACTTCCAATATAAATCCATTAGCTGCACATCTGATTCATAAGTCCTCCACAATCCTACGCCATGAAATACAACAAATTTACAAGTACCTGAACAATGATGAATTATCAAGAATATTTATAAGTCCTAGTTCAGATGGTAAAGTGACAAGAGAAGCAGTAAGAAAAGGAACACGTCAATTATACTCTCAACTTTTTAATGAGAATTGGAAAAAGATTGTTCAAATACCGAATATTTTTAATATTTTACTCGCCGATCTGAAACAAATTTTCTCGTCGACAAGAAGTAATGAATCTTCGACTGAAATACATCTTGCAAAAAAAGTTTTAGAGAAAGTTAACAATATTATACAAGATTGTAACAAAGAATTAAATATATTCAATTTTTGTTTATCGAAAGAATTTTGTAGTACTTTGTATACTTATGCTGTTGTAGGAACAACTTTATACTATTATAATGAACAAAAGACCCATATTATTCATATTCTCGAACGTTTACAAGAAAATAAATCGAAATCAATCGAGCGATTTCTTCCTTGGGTTGTTCTTATGGGAAACGATGATCAAAATGTAGCAATTGATTGTGTTAATAAACTTTTACAAACATTATGTCGATCAGTGGAACCACAACTAAAAGAAACGATTGAAAAGCATATTCATGACAAAATGTCAATATTGAATCGATTTTCAATTATCAAAGAACTCGATCATGATGTATATAATGCTCGAGATGATTGGCTTAAACGTTATGTTCTTCATTTTCCTGAGCTAATCCTTGAACGATTAAATGAAAAATGGATAACAGTTAAAGAAGCTATAGATGCAATGCTTAATACAATCGTGAATTCAATTTCAACGACGTTAGATGATATTTTTCGCTTGATTGAAGCTGTCAATAGGAATTTGCAAGAACAAAGAGCTCATTCTCTTATTTTCGTTGACAGTTTATTTAAACTAAAAGATGAACAAATGATTACATATGCCAATGATAAGCAATTTTGTATGGCTAAATTGCTCTATTGCTATCTTGTAGATGAAGACATTCCAGCAGAAATCTATACTAGAAATAATTCAATCTACATTGTAGATTCCACATGGCGTACAATTAGTGGTACTTTTTCAAAACCAAGTGCAGAAATAAAACAAATTTTTTCTTTGCTTCGAAATGAATTTGAAATGTTTAGGATTCGTTATCTGGGAAAATTTCTCGAAACTATTCTCAATCAACAAAATGAAACTAAAGATACAATCCAGCATCAAATAAAATGTTTTATTGAAGCGCAATATTTACTTATTAAAGAACAATTAGACGAACGAGCTCGAGGTTGTCAAGAGCGATGTCCTTGTTGCAAACGTATTTGTGATGTTGATCATTATTCAAACAGCACTTCACCAGTCGGACAAGGAGAAAACAAACACCGCTGTCAGTCCGGTCATCAAATTCGAGCGATGGGTGGTATTTACTATGAAACTACGCACGAAGCTTCATTATCACGATGTGAATTCATCAAAGATGATGACCTAGTAACTACTACTAATAATAACCTTCGGCAAACATGGAGAAATTTTAAGAATGCTAATGCTAATTGGAATTTTGATGAAGATCTCGAAGTTTGTAAAGCGCTGGAAACACCTTACGGATATATTTGGGAAAGAATCGGTGAACAATTATGTCATCACTTCGCTAATGGAATGAAATTTGTCAAACGAAACAGTTTGCAACCAGTAAATCATTACATCTTTATACTTGACCATTCAGGTTCAATGAATCATAAAAACAGTAGCAATAACTCGAGTTTCTGGCGTATTCTGACTGGTACTGTTAACAATACGAACGAAATAAATATCAGTCCATGGGAACATTTGCGTCGAGCTGTTCAAGGATTTATTGATATTCGTATTCGGCAAGTATCTTTAAATGATCAAATTACGATAATTCTTTTCGCTAGCCGAGCAGAAAAAATTTACGATCGAGAAAAACTTATCGACATTGATCTTGATAGAATCAATACACCAATGAACATTTACGGGCATGGAACAAATTTTTCTGCTGCATTTAAAGTACTCATTGAAACACTTGAAGAAATCAATAATCATGACGACCGAGACACTTTACGACAAACAATCGTTTTCATGACTGATGGAGAACCTCAAGGAGATCCAACTACAGAGTTACAACAATTATGTAATTACAAAACTGGTTCGTATAAATTAAAATTATATGTACTAAACTCTAGCAGAAATATCCAGGATTGAGTAAAACATCCTTTTTCTTTTTTAATATTATTGACGAAAGAAAATACTAATTCAATGTTTTCTTTTATTTGCAATAGATAATGCTAGAGGCCCAAATACCAAAGCTTTGATACATAGTTTTTGGACAATGGCTCTTGGAAACTTTAACAAAAAAGTTATCAAAACAATTAATGAAACAATGCAAGGACAAATTGTTGATATTGAGCATGCAGAGGACTTAGAGGAAGCATATGCAACAATTGCCGAAATCTTGTGAAACAAATATATGCAGAAAAGAAAATCATCACTTTTCTTGATTGATTCTATTTTAATATACATTTTTGTATTCAAGAATAAATAATAATCCTGATGAAATGCGCTATATTTTCTAACATTTAATGATTGCATATTTGTTCATTCATTGAGGATGTGGGCATAGATGATGTATTTATCTCGAGGGTGGGTGTGGGTGAGAGTAAATAAAAGATGAATCCACACCCAGCTTTTCATTTTTCTAATCCATTAAATGCTATACAAATTCTTTGGATTAATATTATTATGGATGGACCGCCTGCACAAAGTTTTGTATATTATATTTTTGTTTTAATTCAATAAAAAAGAAAATTAATGAAAAAAACATTTAGTCTTGGTGTTGAACCTGTCGATCATGATGTATTAAAAAAACCACCAAGAAAAGTAACTGACTCAATGATTGATCGTCCTTTAATTATTCATATAATTACAAGTGCAACTATCATTGTTGTTGGAACTTTATGTGTATTTTATGCTGAAGTATGTTACACTTCATTATTTAGTTAATTTTATATTGATTTAATTTAAGATGAGCGATGGAAAAGTAACACCAAGAGATACAACAATGACATTTACATGTTTTGTATTTTTTGATATGTTTAATGCACTAAGTTGTCGACCACAGGTAAAAAAGAATGAATAAGAAAAAAATTATTTTTAAAAAATGTCTTCCTATTTTTTAGACAAAATTTATTTTTGAAATTGGACTTTTCTCAAATCGATTTTTTGTTGTTGCTGTATTTCTTTCAATTCTGGGACAATTAGCTGTTATTTATTTACCTCCATTACAATATGTTTTTCAAACAGAAGCTCTTAGTGCTGCAGGTAAATGAACATGAATATTATTCAGAGATATCAATATAGCTTATTTGAATTGACTCCCGTGTCATTTAATCTATATGAGTTTTTTCAGTGACATTAAAGAAAAGTTCAATAATGAATTCGTTTCGATTTTTTATTTATTTAGATTTATTCTATCTAACATGTTTAACATCATCTGTATTTCTTGTTAATGAATTCCGTAAATTAATCTCGAGAATTTTTCTCAAACATCGTAATAATCATAGACATATGGAAAATAATCATAGAAAGATGGAAATTAATCAATGGATGGTTTAATATGCAGATACAGATTTATTTTTCTTTTCGTAACAAACAAACTATTTTTTCTCACCGTATTCAGTACAAATCGAAGACTTTTTACATATTGTAAATTGTCAATTACTCTGTCTGTTTTACTTTAATTTATTTAAACTTTTATTGTTACTTTTTGTCGTATATCTGTTGAATCTTTTTTTTTTGCAAAAAATAAAACATAAAAGTATCATTTGACTTTGGTTAACAATATAAAATAAATTGTACTTTAAAAGATCTAACTGGCATACTTATATTCACTATACTTTCAATATGCAAGGATTTTGTTTAGATTTCAACAATGTATATATATATAGAAATTACAAGTTCTCTTATGATAAAAAGATCGAAGGTAAGTCAGGATCCGTCAGTTCAACTATGAATTAGATTTTTAGTGTTTTCAATGATATTTTTAAATTTAAATAAAAAAAAACATAATTCAAATGATCGTTTTACTAAATTTTCTGATATTATTTTCATACTTTTATCATCAGTGGAATTGATCGACATGAATAATTATAATAATGTTTATGATGAGATGAATTAATTTACCTAAGATGTAAAGTGCTGCTTAATCTATAAGATAGATAAATCTTACACAAATTGATTGATAATACTCTGAAAAAAAAGTTCTGTATATAACCAAAAGCTTCAAATTGTGTCAAAAGTCTCAAAATAAATCAGAATTTGAAAAGAAATATATTAACTGCCTTAAATAATTAGAAAACAAAGATGTTTGTCATAGTTATTTTTGAATGCCAAAAAGAACAGTTTTCATTAGAATAAACGACTTACATAAGAAGAATCTTTTAGGTAATTAAAAGTCTATTTTAATGTAGCCTTTGTACACCATCAAACTATTCCTGATCATATTTTTCATACATTGACTCATCTATTCTATGAAAGTAATGTCACAGACAGTGGCAAAGTAATATATTTGTTGACCTTGATGGTTATGCACGTATGGAAGATTTTTATTCTGCTCATGCATCAAAAAGAAGAAGCAAATACATTAATGACTGGTGTAAGCAATCTTTATTAATTTATTAAAATAAATTTTTTAATAAAAAATTATTTTAGTTTGTATACGGTAATATCGTGTATCTGAATTAATGCTTTGTGATGGAACTTATACATTAACAATGGAGATGTGGTCAGTAGGTTGTATACTTGATGAATTTATATTTGGTCAACCGTTATTTCCTGCCCGTTATTATTTGGATTAATTACATCTTGTTATATTAACTTCATCTTAGTTCGTTCATATCAATTATGTGACATTCGTCAAATGCTTTCTTTTCAAAATAGTGCAACTTGTTTATCAATAGTAAAATGATAAACCATTTAGATTTATTGAACAAGCATGAATGGCGGAAAATATAAATACAGAGAAGAAGATAGATTATTATTAAAAGTAGAAAAAGAAGATTTTTTGTTAAGTTTTTTTCATTAAAATTCTAGCGAAGGAACGTTTTTTTTCTTTCGTTTCTTCTGCTATTGTGGAAGAGGTTGATATTAACAGATATTACTTTTGACTTGTTTTCAGATGTCATTCGAACAAAACTATCAAGCTTTGATACACTGGTATCGAAGCAAATACGATTTAAATACCACCAATACAATTGTAATTTCCACTCATGCTGTAATGATTAGTAATGGCTTTTTTATATGATAATAATAAAGTAAATAATATTTATGAATTAGTACAAAATATTTTTTAGTTTCATATCAGGCAACATACATGATCGTCAATTTTGAAACATAGGTACCATCCAGTAGTTTCGTATTTGAGTATGACAAAAAGAACGTCAAAGTTAGTACTGAAATCAAAGAAATATCATCTGATTTTACGGTAAGATTGATTATTTATTAAGAGCATCATCATGATATATTTATTTTAGATAAATAATTTGTACAGTAAATACATAATAATTCTAAAAGAATTATATTTCAATTTAAATGGCTTATTGTAAGTTAATTTACAAACATATGATATTTTAATAGACCATCTGTGAAAAATGATTCTTGATTTGTTTATTTAGAAGAAATAATAAAATAATAACACCGTGTAAAGAATACTAGAAGACGATAGAAACCGTCGATGAATACAATAAAAGTTGCCTACTCAGAACGATGATTCCTGATGCAGTATTCCACGAATTTTTAGCGAAAACCGCTAGGAAACCGACAGTTTCAATTCGGGACCCTCTGGAAAAACCGAGAAATCTGGTACAAAGATCCGGCTGCCACTTTGACAAATGAAATTAGAGAGGGTCGGCAAAAACTTTTATTTTTTTCTTTCTTTTCTTTGTTATTGAAGAAGAAGTTGATATCAACGGATATTACTTTTGACTTTTCTTCAGATGTCGTTTGAACAAAATTTATCAATTTTCAAAAATTACTACAAAAATAAATATGATGCAAACCTTATCAATAAGATAGTCATGTTTAATCATTCTGTTCAGAGAGTGTGGGTGTACTATTAATCATTCACCCACACTCATACCCATTACACCCACGACAACCACTACACCCATTACACCCGTCACACCCACGAC